ATTTGATTGACTGAATTGTCGTGTTTTTTAGGATGAAAACTCCAACATGGACATTACTCACGCCATCGACCACCAGGTCGACAGTCGTCAAGCCATGTCGACCGTCTCAAACGGATGAGATGGTGGGTGGTGGATGGAGGAGTTCAACTGTAAGTTCAGTGACCGGTGAGAAGAAGCATGAAGTTCAATGACTATAAGGTGACAATAGGTAAAGTTTAGTGACTAATGAAACTTTTTACTCGAATATGTAGCACAGAAACCATACACGATAAGCTGTCTTCTTCACCAATGGAGGGAGCAAAGGCTGTGGTGCTAAAAGAGGCTGTACTAAAAACTGGTCCACAAACGCCAATCACATGGGAACAAGATCCAACTAAACCCTAACTGGATTTTGACAATCAATTGTTGCTTCATCAGACAAACAATTTATCAAATGTTGCATGATTTTGGGCACAACATTTGATTTCTTCATGTGCATGTCATTCTCAGCTGTACCCATAAATTATTTTTCAGAATTACTAGAAAAAAAAATAAATGGAATTTTGATGTTGCAGGGTAATGTGAAAAAAAATAATTTACGTTGATTCAACGAATACTCAGATATTTAGAACCAAAAAATTTTTGACTTGTAAAAAGATTAGCGAAACAATATTCTACAAATAAGATTAATTAACTTAATTACTTATAAGTGGAAAAAGATAATTTATTTAAAATTAAAAGTTAATTAACAAGTAAGATTAATTAACTTAATTACTTATAAACTTAGCTGAACATGATCATGACGTTCTATTAGCAATTCAAGATAGTGTGCTTATGTTATTATTATTCGGGGGTGAATTATGAAGTGTAAATATGGTAATTTTGAGACAACATGAGAGAGAAATTTATGACTATATCATCCACACTCTTTACAGTTAAAAATCACAAAAACTTTCCCCATTTTTAGTTTCGTAAATCATATTCACATTTGACTACTTTTGAGCAATATCTCATTTAAAGTGAGGTTAATATACCTGAAATGCTCTAAGAGTTTTCATTTTTCTTTGTTGAAATAACTTTATCATTGTTGCATAGTGGGTGCTCTATTCAGCAATACAGGATGCCCCTGCATAACTTCATGATTGGATTTGCACCAATGGAAACCATGAACTTAATACACAATAGAGGGATCGACTTGCTTATTTGCTGAATTCACTCATTTTTTTGATCGACGAGTAATTGATGGAATTACAAATGTGGTTGGTACTGGTGCCACGGAGAGATATGTTTTTAGATTTCGCATTGAAAACCCTCCTTCTTTTAAGATGAAATTTCCAACTATAAATTGCAATTTAATTGGTCCATTTTAATAATAGGTTAATACTCACAAGATTTTATACATACACAATTCTTTAAATATGCATAATAGTGGAAATTTCAATTTAAAATGGGTTGAAGAATTTAGCAAACAGTAGTATATTAACTCATTAAAATATTATACACCCTGAAAATTTAATATTAAATGATCATGGTAAAGAATCTTTATTTTTTATTTTTATAAACGAACATTTTAGGTATATCAACTACATTTTTAAAGTATATTGCAAAAATGGTTAGAGGACGAAATGATAATTAAAAGTAGAAAAAATACTTTAGTATAATCTTTTAAATATGAAGGATGTCTCTGATACTATCAAAAAGTTCAAAAAATATCTTTAGTATTATCTTTTCAGTATTAAAATGTCAATAATATTATTTTCATTGCGTGACAATTAAGTGAAGAATTCATAAATCATTCTAAGAAAAAGTTAGGATTTTTTTAGTTTTTTCCTTTATTTGGAAAATTGACTCCAAATGTAGAGTCTTCATTAATTATTATAACTTAGAAGGATGGAAGTTGTCAATGTAGACTTTTCAAATTTAGTTGATAAAGATTTATCGAAGCCGAAATGAAATACATCTAACCTATAAATTAAAAGAAGAAGGAGACACATGACACAATCAATAATTCAGGAAATATCTAAATCAAGATAAGTATTAGCATACTACTTTATCGAACTACGCTAAAAATTTAGAAAGATATAAATTTTTTAATTCTTTAAAGAAGTATAGTTAATAATAGAAAAAATTATGAATACACGTGTAAAATTATTTTATTGAAATAATATTTGGTTGAAAATAAATTTTAAAGAATCCCCACCGAAGATGGACAATTATCTTGAGTCTTAAAATGGGGAATTCCTTTTTATTTGCGATGGATAATTTAGTAGAAAACTCTTTAAAAACATTTTCATTTGCGATGTACCTTTTACATATTGAAAATTGCGAAAAACCCCAAGTTGAAACTTTTTGTACAAAAAATCCCATGTCGTCAATATCCGTCAAATTTGTCGTTAAAAACAGTTAAAAAAAATGTCAAAATTAGAAAGAAATAATTGCAATTTACTCAAAACTTTTTATTCTTTTTAACAAATTATACCCAAATTTTTTTATATGTACCACATATAATACCAAATCTTTATTTTCTTCCCCATCCCATCCCACGCCACCCCACTCCACTCCACTCCACTCCACTTCATCTTCTTCCCCACCTTCAACCATACCCAATTAAACTAAAATCAAATCCCATAAGATTCAATTAGATTCTGAACTCTGGGATACTCCTCAAACAACGATGGTGAAGGTCATAAACCATACACTTCTAAGTTGGATAGAAAGTAAAGCAAGCTTGAGCAACACCACCTAGAGTCGCATAGAACTTCTTAATTGGTGAATTGTTAAGTCTCGGACTGTTATTTGCGCTCCATTTTTTTATCGCTAAGTTTCCGTTTTACATTAAACATTTGTACACGAATTGCAATAGGGATTCACTATTACAAATGTTGCAAGGTTCCAAGAAAATAAAACCCATTTACTCGAGGTTTAGTCAAGCCACATCTAAATTTCACACACACGAACACACACAAAAAGTTCAGAATTCAGGGCACTAGGTGCAGAATATAAAGTTGTTCAATTATTGGTCGCTGTTTTCAATTGCCTGTGGATTTTGACCACCAAAACTAAAGTACTATATTTACCATCCAGTGATTCATAAGGCAAAGGGTTCCTAGCCGGACCAGCAAGCTTCGCACTCCAATAATAGTCCCCCAGAAGTAGGATATGAAGAGCATATGCAGCCATGGACAAACCAACAAACATGGTGAAACATCTCGCAATAAGCCATGCATAGACCAAGGAAAACGGCCCCACCAAAAGTCAATCGCTATTGTACAGTGTAGTCAGACTAGTGAGCACTGATATTATCGAAAATGAAAAGGCAAAGTTCGAATCTGTATGGTGTGGATTTATAGGATTAATAGCAGTATGATTTTGGTTCTGATGAGTATTCAAGAATTCTAAATTTAATTGGATTTTCTGGATTTTGATTTTGGTTTAATTGAATATGGTTGAATGTGGGGAAGAAGATGAAATGGGGTAAGGTGGAAAATAAAGTTTTAAAAATTTGAATTTGTAGATGGTACATATAAAAATTTTTTGGTGCAATTTATAAAAAAATAAAAAGTTTGGGTACTGAAATTACAATTAATCATTTTTAATTTTGGCATTTTTATTATTTTTAACGACAAATTTGACGGATCTTGAGGGCATGAGGGTTTTTCGCACAAAATGTTTAAAACATGAGGGTTTTCTGCAATTTCCAAAAGATGCGGGATAAACTGCAAATGAAAATGTTTTTAAAGAGTTTTCTACTATTAATCCTTAAAATAAATACATGTCTTCTTTTTAAAATTTAAATCTTTAAATGAAATAGAAGGCAGTAAATAAAATAAGTAAGGAATGAAACATGTACTTTTTTGTATCTCTACTCTTGGAATGGAATGTTAAGTGGGGTGATTTGTATGTCAGCTCGCATAGGTCAAATTGTCAGCTTGCATCTGTTCTTCCTAAAATTGGGAAGCAAAATTTTTTTAAAAAAAATTGAATTTGCAATAGAAAAAAAATGTGCTTACTAGCTCGGCTCATCCCATCGAAGAGGTAAGCCAAGTCACACTCTCTTAAGCAAGTTGACTTGTTTCAAAGCTGTTCGGCTGACTCGCTTGATACGTCGAGCTAAGCTACTCGTTCACTCATCAACATTCTATTTTAATATTATAAATTTTTTATTAAACACATCCTCAGTATTTATTTAAGTTATTAGGACATTGATTAAGCCTGAACAAATGTCCATAAAGCAAAGGCAAAGGGGCTAAAGGCGAAAATAGAAATGATTATACATGAATGGAGATGGGACCCATTTCTACCTTTGATTGATTAACCTTTTTCTTTCTAAATTTCTCAATATTTTTTGACTGGGAATTGGGTCCCACCACTGTCTCTGTAGACTGAATGATAAAAAGAGCACCTCACGTGGACTCTGAAACATAGCCTCTCTGTCCAACCACAATAAAAAGAGACCATTTCAGATAATTGATATTCAAGAGGACAATAGAAATCTGAAATCTCCATTGTTTTCTTCTTTTTGATGCAATTTCAAATCATCTTTGTTTCTGAAATATCTGTCACCCTCTGTGTGTGTTCTAGGCTGAAGCAACTTATAGAAGGCGAAAGTGATTTTAGGGCATCAAATCCAATTAGAGAGTGAATTCAGTTGTTCTACAGTGTGTAGCTGCAGGAGAACTAGATTCCTCCAATATTGGTTCGACTTCTGATTTTAAGATCGCTGGTTTGGAGGACGAGTGCTTGTTCAACCTAAGAACAGATAGCTGATGTGTTGTTCAACTTATTGGTCAGTTGTAGCATAGCTCGCTTCGCTGTTCAAGCTACCCATTCTTGAACCAACCTATCTCTTAAAAGAACCCTTTTTCATAATAATAAACTTATACTAGTCCTTCCATCACACAATTTACAACTAATTGAATCAAACCCTTTTTCTTTCTTTATTGTAGAGAGAGAACATGTTCACATAGAGGCTGAGGAAAGTTGTTAATGGTGGTATTTTCTTCGTTTTATCTCAAGAAATCATGGAAGGATTAGGTGATGATCATCTTCAACATAACCGTCGCTCCAACTTTCCATTCCAATTGCTCGAAAAGAAGGAAGACGAAACCGGCTGTTCCACCAGTTCCGCCTACTCTTCCTTAGCCATTTCTACGGATGCTTCGAACCTTAGCATCATCACTCGACCAACTGCTGCCTCCTCCAGCTTAGACACCGCGGAGCCATCCAAGAAGCCACCGGCCAAGCGGACGTCGACAAAAGATCGCCACACAAAAGTCGATGGACGTGGGCGGCGCATCCGCATGCCCGCTCTTTGCGCGGCTAGGGTTTTCCAGCTTACACGCGAGTTAGGTCACAAGACTGATGGGGAAACCATAGAATGGCTGCTCCAACAAGCCGAGCCGGCAGTTATTGCATCCACAGGCACAGGTAAAATTAACCATCTCATCTAAACATATAAGATATTAGAACAATTTCATTAATTCATTAAATTCTTGTCTTCAATATGCTCCTCACCTGGAAATCTCTTTTATCGGAAATGCATAATTTTTCAAGAACGGGTGGCATTTTAATTCGCTGAATCTTGTCTTCAACAGGTACAATCCCCGCGAATTTCACTTCGCTCAATATAAGCTTACGTAGCTCGGGTTCTAGTATGTCAGTACCATCTCAATTAAGATCTACCTATTTCAATCCGAATTTCTCGATGCAACAACGCCGTGGTCTTTTTCCGAGCTTATTATCGGAGAATTCCTCGACAACTTTGTTGAATTTTCAGGCCGGAAATTTAAACCCTAGTTTGATGCAAGCTAAGCAAGAAATAAACCAACATTCATTAGACTTAACGGAGGCTGAGGATAGTTTAGGGCGGAAGCGGAGGGCGGAGCAAGAGATGCAGCCCCCGCATCACAACCAAATGGGAACTTATTTACTGCAGTCAACCACCGGGTCGATGCCGGCGAGTCATGCCTCAGTTCCGACCAATTTTTGGATGATTCCAAATTCCAGTAACCAAGGTATGGGAGGTGATCCAATATATAATAATGCTGCAGCTTTATATAGGGGTACTATGTCTAGTGGGTTGCATTTCATGAATTTTCCGACTGCGGTGGCGCTATTGCCTAATCAACAGTTGAGCACCGGCGGATTAGGGGAGGGGCCATTGGGGTTAACGGGGCTAAACCCATATCGGTCTGGTGGCGAAGTATCGGAATCTCAGGTGAGTGGTTCCCACGGAGGAGGCGATGATCGGCACGAGACTACGATCCACCATTCTTGAATGATTATCATTGAGTTTTTACTTCGCTTTGACTTTAATATTTTCCATATTTTTTTTGTGTGATTAATGTGGAGGATTTAGGGTTTGAAGAAATTGAGGTAATATATTTTTAAGATTGAGTATTAGATGGTTTGTTCTTTTTATCCTTACACAATGCCATCTTGTTATGAACTACTTTTTATTGTTTATTCAGAGATACATGTAATTTATGATTTATTTCCATGATATTGCTATATATATGGATTTTTTTTTTTTTTAATTTCCTTCTCTCGATGGCAAATACATGTATATTTTTTAACGCACACATGATACTTTGTTTAATTTGAGTCCTGAAGGACTAAGAAGCAAGCTCCTAAATTTTGGAAACGAGATATTCATTTTAGTCAGTATAGATTTGGTTGTCCTATCAACACATTCGAGGGAATCAATGATGAACTTCAGTTCATACAAGAATTAGTTATTGGGTATCTCTAAGAAGCTTATTTTATGAAATATTTGGAAAACCTATGGAGTACACACGAAATAGAGGTGAATAAGCTTAGGTTTTGCAATGTCACCTACAACAATATCAAGTGCTAGATTCCTTAAATTTGTTCATTTGGAGTTTGAGTTATGCCCTTTTCTGGAAAGCAATTGGGATCATAGGTTTTAAATGTATTTTGGAGGAATATGGGCCGGGTAAATGGGCTATTTGGGGGCCCCAAAATAATAGCTTCCGGTGTTGACTAGGATGTTAGGCCTACAGACCTCTATGCTTGTAATTGCCATAACATCTGTACCATTTCTCTCTGACAATTCCTCTCTCCATTGTTGTTTATTGTAAGGGCATTGCAATTTGCTGGCTCCATGAAGAGCGTTGGTAGGTTTCATCAGCCCTACTGGGCCTGACCCCACAAATTCATTTATCTGGATTGTTCAGAATGGCCCACTCTCAATGGGCTCAGTGAATAAATATTGAAACAAATTCCCTAAAAAAGCTCACATGCATGTTTATCAGATGTCACATATACTTTAACAGAGGTCACATGTTTATACAATATAGTCCCTACCGATAACATAATGTTTACTCGATGTGACATAGATTTTTACTAGAAGTCACAATTTTGTAACAAAGGTCTCATACATATACAAAATAATCAGCAAAAATAACGAGATATAACACAGTTACATGCAAAATATCATATGAAGAGGTCAACTTGTATTAGAGGGAAAGTAATTTAAGAGGCGCATGCAAAGTATTACGACATAAAATGCATAAAAATGTCGCAAATACTATTGTGTGCGTGAAAATTACTATATTTTACGGGAAGACTTTAATAGATTGAATATATTTGAGGGAAGATTTTGACAATTTTTATTTTGGTGAAGATAGGCTAATTTTCGATTGATTTGTTTCCTTAATTGGAGGAGATATTTTTCATATGAGTAATACTATTTATAGTGAAAACTACTGATAGTTGTCTTACGTCATGACATACACATAACAGTTTATTATTTGATACATTAATGTGGTAATTTCTTGTTATCTCATCTATAAAATAACAAACTGTTATATGTGTATCACGTAAGACTATTACGAGTAGTTTTCACTATGAATAACATTATTCTTTGTCTGATATGTGAACAATTAATTGGGTTACTTGATTTGTGAAAAGAAAATTTTAAAAAGATGATTTGCTCTGTTTTTCGAATAAATATTTCTGAATAAGAAAAATGTGTGAGAGTATGAACTATGAAGTCTTTATATTCCAAATTGTGTTTGGCTAAGCTTTATTTATTTATTTATTTATTTATTTAGTTTTGGCTTATTCGAGGGAAGGCTACCTTTGGCATACTAGAATCCATCATATTAAAAATTTAATGCAAAATTATAGTGACTAATCATAAATAGATAGTATTATAATAGATTTAAGTATGTTCAACTATTTATATTATATATATTATGCGTAGTTCATTTTTTTTATTTATTGATATTTCGTTTTAACTAGTTTTATTTTGGAAACATATTTTAAAAGAAAGTGTCAATTTCCTACTTAATAAAATAGTGAAGAATTATTAATGTTACTATACAAGATCAAATTCGAAGAGAAAATGTAAAAATGGATCTTAAAATGAGGTCATTATCATTTTCAAAGTATAAAAACTGGTTAAAACTATTTATATTCTCCCAGTAAAAACTATTTAACGTTCTCTTTTATTATCGCATTTCAAAATTTTCATATTTTACTTATGCCTTCATTACACTAATTTTCTAGCTCCGCCCTTGTCCGAGGCTAAGTTTGAGAAGGCTTTCAAACAGCAGTGTCAAACGTCATCGTTGCCTCATTTTCTTCACTTTATACGACCCCAATTCTTCCTCCCCCATCAACTCGATTTCCTCCTAATAAGAGCCAGGGGCGGACACAGAAATTTGGAGTTATGGGCCACAATCAAACCATGTACAAATCGAATACTATGTTCTAGATTATTGAATTATTCATACTTGATTTGAGACAATACAGATATACGTTTAAAAAATATTTTTTCATTAATATTTAAATAATCATTTTAAGAAAATGCATATTTGCGTTTAAAAATTTTATAATATATTTGATACAAGCAATCAATTTAAGTCATCTAAAGGAAAAACATGTAACTAATATTCAATACTAATAATTAATTAAATAAACACAATTCGTTAAATATAAGTCAAATTGAATATAATGAGTTTAGACATATTCTATATACACAATTTAATAGGAGAAAAATACAAATTTAGGTTCTAATTACTTGAAAATTGGATTGGAAAGTGAAAATTTGTAGTAAATGTGATAATTTGTAGAGAAATTATATACAAATTTTAAAAAATTAAAATGGTCAAGATTTTTTTAAAAGGCGAGAGGAAAAGAGCAAGAGAGAGCAAGACAAAAGAGAAAAATTCAAATTTATTATGATTTTGCCCCTATTTGGAGGAAATTAAAATCAAATTTTTATTAAATTTTGATAAAAGTTAAACAATTATGGATTCCATAAAATATGATGTTAAAATTAATTGTTAACTTTGATTTAGATAAAAATTTAGATTTCAATAAATATCAAACATGACTTTATAAAAAAATCTTCAAAAGTTGGGGGGTCACGTGACCCCCTCGGGTCCGCCCCTGACAAGAACCTTTTAAAAACTGAGGATAAATAATTAAAGTGAAGTAAATTCTCTCCAAAACTAACAATAACGATGATTATGGCAATGATGGAGGCTCTCCCACCTATCAAGGATATGTGGGTTAGAGGTTAGGCATTGAAGTTGGGTGGCTGTGTTGATTGGGAAAGGCGATTATTTTTGTCAATTAATAGATTTTTGGATGAAAATCGTAATAAGTCCTTTCGTAGCACATTTATTAAATGTTTGGACCTTTGTTGCAATTTTTTTATAGAGTTGGGACTTTTGATACAAATTACCTTCTTTAATTAATAAAAGATTGGAAAACCATCTTACCTTTTGAACCTTTCTCAAAATTGATCAAATTATGGTCCAACATCAACTTTTTGACAACCAACAGTATTTTGGAAGGAAACTCTCCATAGGTCCTTTCATCGCACAGATTGAAAGTTTTGGGACCAACTTTGCTACAAATTAAATGTTTAGATAAAACCTGCAAAAAATTGAAAGATTTGAAAATGCAACTATAAGAGCATTTCTAATGGTAGTGTAAATTCGTATCTCCAAAATCATTTTTGTATCTACATTTATAAGGTGCCGTTATTTACATCCACGATTATTATATATTCATTCCTCTATATATCTATCCCTATTAAAATTTTAAAAAATTACTATTTTTATCTACATCAAATTTCAATATTGTCTTTATTAAATTTATTCATTTAAATATTACAGATCCACACAAATTTTATATATTCATCACACTCTAAATACATCCCTAGTGCAATTTCAAAATTTTTAAAAAATCACTATATTCATCCCAATTCTGATCCGGACATTATCGATGTGGGCCGTCTTCATATCATTCTCACTAGAAAGCACCAATATTTTTGGTGGCACCGGCATTTATCACCACTCCTGGTTAGCGCGAAGTAGGCTTTTACGAATAATGTTGTCATTTCCTTTGCCTTCAGTCGAAGTCTCAACCGACTCAATGACAACACAAAATACAGCTAGCCCCTAAAGCATCTCGTCATGACTTTAGTTGTTTTGATTGCTATGTCCGTATGTATTTCTTTTAATGGCATCTCTTCAATTTTCATTTTATTTTGATTTTAGTTGAAGATGATATTTTATGATTATTAAAGAGTACACAAATTCTAAAAGAACCTTAAAATGTACAAAAGAATTAAATAAAAATAAATATTAGTTGGTGAATTTTGAAAGATATATTTTTAATTAATTTTATATATGTATATTTAAGTAAATTTACATAAGATTAAAAATATAATATAATTGTCTTTTATAAAAGCGGTTGATGTAAATAGCGGCACTTCATTTATATCCCCGATGGATTTAATTCAAATTCTACTCCAATGAAAAGATCTAAATTCACTTCTTCTTTTTTTGTCTTTTGTGGATGATTTTTTTTTTTTTTACATTTTCTGTCTGAAAATATAATTTGCATCTCCTTTGCATCTTTTCATTGGAGAGATTTTCGATCACTTTGAAAATTTTAAATCTCTATTTTCCACTATCATTTGAGATGCTCTAACTGTCTTTCTCAATCTTCTCTCCTAAAATGAATAAAATACCTAAGTTGGACTCATCAAGAACAAAGATGTTTTTGATAAAAAAAAACATATCCACCCTTAAAAGATGTAAAAAACTATATCACCAAAAATGCGAGAAATATTTTAATAGGATGCCCTTATATGCAAATGTGATAAGAGTAGTCCATTCATATCACACGAATCCTGAACTCCTCAATCCATTACATTTCATACTTTGAGTGAATAATAATAAAAAGGGTAGGTGGATGGACATACTCGACATATCAGGTGTTGTGACTTGAGTAATTCAAAGTTTAAAGTATCGTAATTCGACTGAGTAGTCTTATCATATGTTCATATATGACCGTCCTATTGATATATTTCTCCAAAGAATAATGTTACATGCACACAATGACATTAAATAATAAGATTAATAAACATATCTCATATCTACTAATTTAGTTGATCTTATGATTTTTCTCACATTATTTATCTCATCCAGGCTTGGGCATGGTTTGGGTTGAGTTAGTTTTGAACTCAACCTGAAACCGAAACTGAAACCAACTTGGTTAGTTTGAATAAATTTCAACACAAATCGCTCAAATTCAGTTGTTGAAACCGAACCGAACCAAACCCGTTTGGGTTTGTTTGGTTTTGTTAGTGAACATTTGTCTAAACTAAAAAACTTAGCCTACCTATTTTGGGTTAAAAAATTTACTTGCTTATATATTTACATTTTTTTTTTTTTTTGCTTGTGTAAAAATCATTCTATATAGCCAATAGTTACCAAAAAACAATTATATCAAAATGAAAAGCAATGTTACAATCTAAATTTGAAGTTTACAATAAACAATTCTTCTTCTTGCTTTTATTTTCTTTTGAAATTTGGAGTTTTGGTAGAAAAAAAGTGTAGACGGTAAATAAATTTTAAAGTATGAATTTTAAAATAAAAAAAATTATTAGCTAGTTGGATCGGTTAATTGACGGGTTAGTAGCTTAAACCGCACCCAAACCAACCCAACCTGACCCGACCCGATTTTTTAATGGTTAAAATTAATTGAAACAAATCGACCCAAACCGATCCAATTTGGTTTGATTTCATCAGTTTGATCGATTTTTTAGCCCATCCACGATCATATCTACATGGCAATGATCCCATGGGGAATATATACAACATTATTCTTGTCCAAAATGCATCGAAATCTTTTAAAGAAAAATCACCTAAAAAGATTCACCTTTTTTCAAGAAGAAGCCTAATCTAAAAGAATCTTTCAAAAAGAAACACTTTAAAAATTATTCACCACCCACCCAACCCTCTCTCGACGTCTTTCTATGCACACAACTACACTCTCTTTCAACTCCATCTCTTCCTGCGGGAACTGAAACTCTGTATTATACGTCTCTCTTTATTGAATTCTCCGAACAAACTAACCAGCCTTTTTGTCATTTTAAAGATGGAGGGATCTGAGGCCGGAAGCTTCCTTAAAGTCCTATTCAAAAACATCGACGTTCTTGCTGGGTATTTTTCCATCTCTCTCCCTCTTTCCTTAAATTTTTTTGTTCATAGAATTTATGTTCTATGAGGATTTTAATGAGAAAATCTTTCCTTAGTTTGTTGTACAAGTGCTTTTATAAGGTATTATTATGATGCGTTAAAAACATTGTTAGTCACTCAACTTGTAGAACTCGACCCCTCTAACGTAACATGTTTTTGCCCTGCTTTTATATAAAAATAGTGCACCAGCGGATTCTTTGTCTGTGTTGTAAGTACACTTTAATTAGGGTGGCGTGTCTGATACTCATCGGATACTCGACTGTAATCTTTAAATTGGGTGACTAACCGTAGTTTTTAACCCGATATTGTAAATATGGGTTTCACTGAATTGGGTTTTATGTCTTTGATATTGCAGGCCCGTGGTTAGTCTTGTTTATCCTTTGTAAGTGGGTTTTTGCTTTCATAAATCATGATTAAGTTTTAATTAAAATTTAAGTGCTCAAGCTAATATATGGTTTTGGCCTTTTGAATTCATTGGCAGATATGCGTCAATTCGGGCAATTGAGACAAAGTCTCGAGCGGACGATCAACAATGGCTTACTTATTGGATTCTCTACTCTATGATTACAATTTTCGAGCTTACATTCGCTAAACTAATCGAGTGGTATATTTTGTTTCATCCGTAGTTTATTCCCGTTGCTTCTCTCTCGATTTTCTTTCTAGTAATGTTTTCAATATCTACTCGTATATACTATATCATTGGTTAGGATTACTCGATTGAGTTCCAATTTCTAATTTCTCAATGTGTGTTAGGATCCCTTTTTGGTCATATGCAAAGCTGATTTTCACGTGCTGGTTGGTCATACCGTACTTCAGTGGTGCATCGCACGTGTATGAACACTACATTAGGCCTTACCTAGTTACGCAACAAAAAACTATTAATATTCCAAATGTTTCATGGAAAAACGTTGTGTCTAGTAAGCCAGATGACATTCTAAGTGCAGCGGAGAAGTACATCGAAGAAAATGGATCCGAAGCATTTGAGAGGATAATCCACAGGGTATGTTAAAATCTGTATATTTTGAAAATCGCGTATTTTTGGTTTGTGAAATTATACGAGGCTCATTCGGTTTGTTTTTCAATGCAGGTTAATAGGGATGCTACTTCTTCGAGTAGTCACGACCATGCATTTTATGATGACGACTATAGGTACTGAGGATTGTTAATTGTAGTGTTTTTCTTGCTGCTGAGCACTTTGGTTCCTGTCAAAAACATGGTGAAGAGGATCCCATGACTTGATGTTTCCCTTTAATGTTATTGTGGTGTAATGGATGATGCATTTCTTATTGTCAATTTTAATAAAAGGAAAAAAATAATATACATATATATATAGTGTGTGTGTGTATATATAGGATGATTTTTAAATACAGAACTCGAACTAAATATGAACTTTAGAAGTATTAAACTTAACTTCTTAGAACTTATCAGAACTACCTGTTACTACAGAGGGTAAACAGAAGATAGCCGTAGGAAAAATTCGAAATAATGTGTCAACTCTTATAAAGTGACTTTAATAAAGTTGATTAAAATGGAATTTTCTTTATTAAAGTTTTCTTTATTAAACTTTTATTATTATTTGGCTTGCTTGATGGTAATGTCGACGGGAACAACTTTTGAGATGGAATACATAACTGAAATAAAATATTTCTTGAAGCATGAACCCTGTATTGTCTGTATTCGTCCAATTAGTTCGATCCATATAATCATTTTAAATTCTTTGGAGTATTTTCTTGAGCAATAAGTTCTTCAATGTCTCTCACAGCAATCATTTCCATTACTCTGAGCATATTCAATTTTTGAATTTGATCTTGTTTGAAAAGAACTTGATTTTGATTTTGATTTATTCGAAGTTAATTCTGCCAAAGAAACATTTTTTCTGAAATAATTGATAATTCCTATGATATCTTGCATTAAGAAAACGTAGCTAATAATCTTGATTTTTTTGTAAGAAAATCAACTTGTTTTTCTTTTTCTTTCTTTGAAACTTTCGGAGTACACATATTTTTCTACTTTTGAATCCATGAACAAACAACTTTTTCACAACAATTAGTCTCATGAAATTTAGACCGTAATTTGATTTTGAGTCTTCAAATTATATGTTTAGTATTGAATTTGGAATTTGGATTTTAAACAAGATTAAAGCCCCAACAGAAAATCCATGAAATTTTGAAGTTATAGGCGAATTGGAACAAAACATTTTCTTAAGGTTTAAAAACGTTTTGGCCTCTTTTTTTTTGTTTTTTTGAAGAGTTCGAATCCTTGAAAAGTAAGATTGGACAACATCTTCTTCTCAATTCCAAAATATCCGAACCAAGTTTGAAATCATTTTGAAAAACTTGAAGCGCATGCTCTTTGAAAAGAATAAACCATGAGCGTGTCATTGGTTTAAAGTACAAAAATGATATCAAACATCCTGGTAATCAAAATAATTGAAACGAGATTCGAATGTTTCATCCTTAAATAAACGTATTTTTCTCATCGCATGGGTTTTGTCCCCAGTCTTCATAAGACAATTCCACTTGAATACTTATTTTTGAAAAATCAATTTGTTTGGGGTTCCGAGGGTTTACATTATGAGTTATGATAGTCAATCCAGAATTGATAATGATGACTTCATAAAAAGCACTTGATTTTTTGATATTTCGATATTTCGGGCATGAAGTAAGATTGAGAAAGAAAAATGTTTTGCAGGCATTCATTTAAAGATAAATATGTATGTACCCATGAGGTTTCCATTTCAAGAATGGGTAAATGAATTGGTTTGGTAAAATAATTTAAAGTTTTCGAAGGATTAATGTCAGGTAATTTTCCTAAACTAGGTTGAACGGCTTTTTTGAAATTTGAATGTGAAGTTTCTGGTTTATTAAAAATATCTTTGTTTTGAAGGACTAATGCTTAAAATGTTGTTCTAAACTTTCTGAAAAAATTAAAACATCATCAATATACACAATAATAAAATTTGAATAAAGATTGAAAATATCATTCATTATTTTTTGAAATTTTGAGGAAGCATTTTTTTAACTAAATGGCAAAACATTTCATTCGTATTATCCAAAATGGACATTGAAAGCGATTTTTGTATCCATCTTCTTCTTTAATTTGAATTTGCTGGAATTTTAACTTCATATCAAAGTTTGAGAAGATAACAATTTTAAATAATCTATTTATTTCTTTTGAGATAATGAATATCGAATCCATCGAAGTGCTTTATTGAGGGGCCTGTAATTGATAACGAGATGGAGAACACCTTTTTCAATTTCAGTAGAATTATTGATATAAAAGCTGAACAACTCAAAGGTGATTTACTTGGACAGATCAATCATTTATCAAGTAAATAATTGATTTCCTTGATGCAGATTCCTTATTCATTTGAATCGAACGAGATTTTGTAGCAATTCTTGACTCGTGAAAATTAGAATTATAAGGAAGTAAAACAACATGTTTCTTCATATCCCAACATTGGGAATGGTAAAACATATTACATTTTCAATTTTTTTAAAATAATGAAATTTTTTCTTTTATTGAAGAGTTTTTTAATTTCTCTTTAATTCTTTAAAATTTAATCTCTTCTTTGAGAAATTAAATATGATTTTTCTTGAAATTGATATTATTAATGATATTTTAAATTAATACTTCTTTCAAGGAATTAGCATTATAAGGAGCATTTGTAAAGTTGAAAAATATTTTTTGACTAAAAATATTTGTAGTGAGTCCTTTTGGGGTTAATAATCCAAATGGTCACTGAACTTTGCAAAGTTTTAATAGGATAACTGAACTTTAAAAATCATCCAAATCATTACTGAATTTTACAAAAAGTTTACACGTGGTCACTGAACTTTGCAAAAGGTTAACAAGAGGTCGCTGAATTTTAAAAAACATCATATTCATCACTAAATTTTGCAAAAAGTTTCTCAGGGGATCAGTGATCTCCTGGGAAACCTTTTGCAAAGTTCAACGATCATGTGGAAATTTTTTACAAAGTTTAGTGATGAGTGGAGTGATTATTAAAGTTCAATGACCCCGTGTAAACCTTTTGCAAAGTTCAGTCCTAACTTGAGTGATTTATAAAGTTCAGTGACCATGTAAAAACTTTTTGCAAAGTTCAGTGACTATTTGGGTTATTAACCCGTCCTTTCGAATAAGCGTGAAATGGGTAAATTTGAACTATAAAAGGAGTTTCAAGAATTATTTCTTAGTCTAAATTTTTGACTAAATAAAAAAAAAATTTAAAAAAAATTTGAAGTACAAATATAAACTTTTAAAAAGGAGTTTTTTTAGCTTGAGAAAAAACTTCAAGAAACTAGAAAAATTCCTTGTAATTTTCTAATTTGCTTTACAAATATTTGTATTCAAAACCTTGCAATTTCAATACTGCAATTTCAATATTTCTTCAATAAATAAATGTTTTCATCAAAAGTTTATTTGATTGTTTGATTTCATTTTCAAACATTAAGTTTTTTCTCCCGCTAAAAAACTCTTGTACTGAGCTTGAGGCTCAATCTTCTATAATATTTGAATTCCGGACTTGAAATCTTCATAATTTGAATTGAAGAATCTTGAATAGTCTTGATGGACAATGATGTCTCCCATTTGTCTTCTATCGGCATCCTTTTTCTTTAAATAATGTGTCAACTTTTATAAAGTGACTTTAATAAAGTTGATTAAAATGGAATTTTCTTTATTAAAGTTTTCTTTATTAAACTTTTATTATTATTTGGCTTGCTTGATGGTAATGTCGACAGGAACAACTTTTGAGATGGAAGGCATAATTGAAATAAAATATTTCTTGAAGCATGAATCCTGTATTGTCTGTATTCGTCCAATTAGTTCGATCCATATAATCATTTTAAATTCTTTGGAGTATTTTCTTGAGCAATAAGTTCTTCAATGTCTATCTCACAGCAATCATTTTCATTACTCTGAGCATAGTCAGTTTCTGAATCTGATCTTGTTTGAAAAGAACTTGATTTTGATTTTGATTTATTCAAAGTTAATTCTGCCAAAGAAACATTTTTTTTTTTGAAATAATTGATAATTCCTATGATATCTTGTATTGAGAAAACGTAGCCAATAGTCTTGATTTTTTTGTAAGAAAATCAGCTTGTTTTTCGTTTTTTTTTTTTTTGAAACTTTCGGAGTACCCATATTTTTCTACTTTGGAATCCATGAACAAACAGCTTTTGCACAACAATTAGTCTCATGAAATTTAGACCGTAATTTGATTTTGAGTCTTCGAATTATATGTTTAGTATTGAATTTGGAATTTGGATTTTAAACAAGATTAAAGCCCCAATGGAAAATCCATGAAATTTTGAAGTTATAGGCGAATTGGAACAAAACATTTTCTTAAGGTTTAAAAATGTTTTGGCCTCATTTTTTTTTTTTTTTTGAAGAGTTCGAATCCTTGACAAGTAAGATTGGGCAACATCTTCTTGTCAATTCCAAAATATCCGAACCAAGTTTGAAATCATTTTGAAAAACTTGAAGGGCATGCTTGTTGAAAAGAATAAACCATGAGCGTGTCACTGGTTTAAAGTACAAAAATGATATCAAACATCCTGGTAATCAAAATAATTGAAACGAGATTCGAATGTTTTATCCTTAAATAAACGTATTTTTCTCATCGCATGAGTTTTGTCCCCAATCTTCATAAGACAATACCACTTGAATACTTATTTTTGAAAAATAAATTTGTTTGGGGTTCCGAGGGTTTACATTATGAGTTATGATAGTCGATCCAGATTTGATAATGATGGCTTCATAAAAAGCACTTGATTTTTTGATATTTCGATATTTCGGGGCATGAAGTAAGATTGAGAAGGAAAAATGTCGTGCAGGCATTCATTTAAAGATAAATATGTATGTACCCATGAGGTTTCCATTTCAAGAATGGGTAAATGAATTGGTTTGGTAAAATAATTTAAAGTTTTTGAAGGATTAATGTCAAGTAATTTTCCTAAACTAGGTTGAATGGCTTTTTTGAAATTTGAATGTGAAGTTTCTGGTTTATTAAAAATATCTTTGTTTTGAAGGACTAATGTTTAAAATGTTGTTCTAAACTTCTGAAAAAATTAAAATATCATCAATATACACAATAATAAAATTTGAATAAAGATTGAAAATATCATTCATTATTTTTTGAAATTTTGCGGGAGC